TCTTCTTTTCTTCTTAACCCCAAGTTATTAGACCCTGTTAAAAGTTCTACCGGAACGTATTACAATAATGGTAACACCTAAGACTATGTGATATGAAACGAAATAGTACATCATCGAAGAGAAAATGTTTTCAACTCGAACTTAATCTGTCCGAAGTCTTAAAACCATTGTACAATCTTACAACAACTTTCAACAAATTATAGCATAGTCACACACATAGTCTTCAAAAAAGTCTCCTAGTCATTTTATTGTCTTACAAAAAGTCTCGCAGTTATTGCATAGTCATACACAAGGTCTCTCGTCCATTATAGTCTTGTCACGGTCACTGCATAGTCATACACAAAGTCTCTCGTCTATTATAGTCTTGTCACGGTCACTGCATAGTCATACACAAGGTCTCTCGTCCATTATGGTCTTGTCACGGTCACTGCATAGTCATACACAAGGTCTCTCGTCCATTATAGCATTGTCACGGTGACTGCATAGTCATACACTAGGTCCTCCGTCCATTCTAGCATTGTCACGCTCACTGCATAGTCATACACAAGGTCTCTCGTCCATTATAGTATTGTCAGGGTCACTGTATAGTCATACACAAGGTCTCTCGTCCATTATAGTCTTGTCGCGGTCACTGCATAGTCATATACAAGGTCTCTCGTCTATTATAGCATTGTCACGGTCACTGCATAGTCATACACAAGGTCTCTCGTCTATTATAGCATTGTCACGGTCACTGCATAGTCATACACAAGATCTCTCGTCCATTAGAGCATTGTCACAGTCACTGCATAGTCATATACAAGGTCTCTCGTCCATTATGGTCTTGTCACGGTCACTGCATAGTCATACACAAGGTCTATCGTCCATTATGGTCTTGTTACGGTCACTGCATAGTCATACACAAGGTCTCTCGTCCATTATAGCATTGTCACGGTCACTGCATAGTCATACACAAGGTCTCTCGTCCATTATAGTATTGTCACGGTCACTGCATAGTCATACACAAGGTCTCTCGTCCATTATAGTCTTGTCACGGTCACTGCAGAGTCATACACAAGGTCTTTCGTCCATTATAGCATTGTCACGGTCACTGCATAGTCATACACAAGGTCTCTCGTCCATTATAGCTATTGTCGACGGTCACTGCATAGT